AGTTTTCAGGAAGCTGAGGGTTGTACAGAAATATGGTGCGGTATAGAACATGCATGTTTCAGATAAAAAGAATTTTATATAATATTGGTAGATATTTTTAAATTAATCGCAATGAACATATAGGGAGTTTATATCGGACATTAAAGTTCGTATGGGCAATTCAAATTCTAGTGGTGAGTTATCACTAGATATTGGATTCTTCTAGAAAAAATAAACATTTCCTTTTTTGACTAAATTTCAATTACATTGATCCGTTTTTTTTTATTAGATACGCGATCCAGTCCTCCACCTGACCCAGAAGTACCAAACATGTCAATAAAATTACCGGAACCGACTTTATCTAATTTAGAAGAAATCGAAACAATAATTAAAGTTTCAAGTCGATCCATTTATGAACGAGAAAAGCTAGCGGCATTTGTTACTCAGGTATATATGTGCATATGTTATTGCAGTATTGCAGTATCGCACATTAACTTAATTTCTTATTCGTGTTTTCACATAATAAAAATTATGTCATAAACTTTTATAAATTTTATGTTTACTTAATGTTTTTCTTTCGCTTTTAGGGTTACATTGCCAAATTATTACCTCTACTTTCGACATGTGAAGACCTCGAAGATTTAAAAGACTTACATAGGTTATGTAATATAATGAAAGGCATTAGTATGTATTCTTTTAATATTAAAAATTCTAACTTTTCATGAATTCATGACTCGATTCTAACTTTATATATTTTTTCTTAGTAATGCTTCAAGATAGCGAAATTTATGAATTTATTTTACGCGACGATGTAATTATGCAAGTTGTTGGAATGTTGGAATGTAAGCTTGATATTTATAAAAAAAAAAAATCATTTCGTAATTTGTGATCTCTAAAATTTTAATTTTAATTTTTTAATTTTAATTTTAATTTTTTTTTTTTTGTAGATGATCCCGAATTCCCTACTTTTAAAGCTAACCATCGTCAATATCTAGCAGATAATTCAAAATTTAAAGAAGTGAGATTAATTATAATATTATATGAAGATATTATATAAAAATACTGTATAAACATTGTTATTTATCGGTCATTTATTTTCTTTAACAGATTGTCAAAATAAAGGACAAGACGATCGAAACAAAAATTCATGAAACTTTTCGCCTTCAATATCTCAAAGATGTAGTGTTTGCACGTGTATTCGATGATCCAACAAGTTCCATACTTTCATCGCTCATTTTATTTAATCATGTTGATATTTGCAAACATATTTCACAAGATGATGAATTTTTGGATGAACTTTTTAATATCCTTAATGAGGAAGATGGTTCACCAAAACGTAAACATGACGTTATTATGTTTGTTCAACAACTTTGCTTCATCGCAAAAAGCATTCATGTACCACATAAAAAAGAATTATACAGGTTGGTACAAATTATTTGTTTTTATTAATATAGTATAATAGTATATCAATTATCATCTCTGATTAAATTTAAAATAAATAGGTCATTAGCAAGGCATGGATTATTTAAAGTTTTTGATCATTCATTGGTGGATGATGATCCAAGTGTCAAGACTGCTGGTGGCGAAATATTAGCATCTCTCTTGGATACAGATGCAAGTATTATTAGATCTCATATTGTGAAACAGGCTGAGGACAAAAAGAAAACTTTGGCTGAAACGATTATTGAAAGATTTATTCAAGATCAAGACTTGGGCGTAAAAGCTCAATATGCTGAAGCTCTTCGACTTTTACTAGATATGAATGCTGGACTATCAGAGATGGGTTTTATAGTTCCTCCTGAGGTTTGTTATATATATATATTTATGAATTATTGATCAATATATATATATATATATATATATATATATATTTATGTATTTATTTATTTTTTTTATTTTATTAATCATTTATTCGCTTAATAGTCGTTACCTCTACTTCAACCTAAACATGATGATGACATCGATAATTTTTTAAACTTATTTTATGAAGAGCTGATATCAAAGATGGTAAAACCTGTTTCAGATTTACCAGATTTTGAAAAAGAAGATGGTGAATATTAATATTAAATTTTGAATAAATGCTTTTTAATATTTCATATTATAATAATAATAATATTAATAAATTGTTCTGATAATTTGGTAGAGGTTCTTAAATTATCTTCTGATGTAGCAGCATTATGCTTTCATATATGCGAGCTCTTGTCATTTGTTATCAAACAACATACTTTTAGAAGTAAATATTTTGTATTATCGACCGATATAACATCAAAAATAAGTATTTTATTCAGAAGTCCTGAAAAGTACCTAAAATTAGGTAAGCATTAAAAAAAATTTTTTTTGCTCTTTTTTTTATGATACTATATAAATCAATTAAAAAAATTAATACATATATTTTTAAAGCCGCTCTGCGGTATTTTCGAGCCTGTATAGGTATGAAGGAAGATTTTTATAATAGATATCTAGTACGTAATAATCTTTTCGATCCCATAATACGCGTGTTTATGGAAACGAAGGGACGGGATAACTTATTAAATTCAGCATTTCTTGAGCTATTTGATTTCATAAGAAAGGTGTGATTTTGTCATTATATATTCATGTAATAATCCATTTAAATAAGGCATGAATGTTGAATAATTTCTTTTTTACTAATTTTTTTCTAGGACAATATTAAGTTTCTTATAAATCATATAATGGAAAGGCATGGTGAACTATTATTAAAGATTGATTATGTTGATACTTTTCAACAACTTCAACTTCGTTATGAACAAAATAAAGAAATCCTTATTGGATCAGATAAGTCACCAGGAGAATCTAGTCAAAGGTTTGTTTTTTTTTAAAGCTTCATTTTATTTTTAAT